TGACGCATTATTAATATACGCCAGAACTGCGTAGAACAGTGGCATCTTTTGCGGTGGTCGCTTTCAATTGAGAGGGAGACGGTTCGAATCCTTGTCGCGGCATATACCTATAACATTTTGTCGCAGTACCTATTATATAAAGTTATATTTATTATGAAATCATGAGCCGTATGCTAGATAGATAAGAAATACGTAAATATTGGAAAACTTTTGTAACGGAATTAATTGTTACTTATACTAAATGTAATTAAAAAAAAACATCGTATACCAAGCATTGTAGCTATTTTTAATGGCGGTACGCAACGTTGAAAAATCATTAGCAGGAATAGAGCTCCTTGTGAAAGAGTTCGTCGAGGGAAGTACTGCCACCTTACCTATTTCTGCCGCCAAGCAGTAATGTTAGCATTACTGCGTTCCTTGTTAGAAGGATAAGGGTGCTGGTGAAATTAGAGGCACATGAGACTTGTCAACTTATGTCTCAGGATGACTGGCGCAGTGGCAGTGCCCTTCAGATCTTTGCGATTTAAAGCGTTGAGTGGCACTGCAACTGTTATGGACAGGCGTGTAGCTTACCATCAGGCGCTCGACTTGTTCGTCCCGTCTTGATATGAGGTAAAATAAATTTACACTTGAAAACATCATTTTTTAAGCTACTGCTCATTCATTGTGTTGACTTCCTTGAGAAGAACGAGCAAGCTCTTTTCAAATAAACATGGAATACACTTTGAATCAAATTTTGTTTGGAATCCACACCCATGTCGCCTTCAATTTTGTAATATGTATTTCAATTAAAAACTTTTAATGTAAGTTTCAAACTTAGGAAAGGATAATCTGTGGCTCAAGTGAAAAGGGGTACAAGTCAAAAAAGCCAACTTTAAAGTTAAAGTTTAATATGATATTAAGCATTCAAATACAAAAAATAATTAATTTGAGGTAATAGCGATATCTCTAGCCAGGGCTGGTAGCTGTAAAGGTATCTAACTGGGTGACGAAATACTTTCATAGATTTCTCATAGATGGCGCTACGGCTAAAAAGTCGTTGAAAATCAAATGCAAAGATCCGACAACAAGCTCATAGAAGAATTCGTGAGGTCCGCTGGATCGTCCCGTGGCTTAGTTGGCATAGCGTCTGGCACGATCTTGGTATTAATAATTATGATATTAAGCGTTAAGTGTTTTTCGCGTTTCCTTGTAAAATTGGCTTTTTTGACTTGTACCCCTTTTCACTAGAGCCACAGAATATGCTCCGGAATGTTATTATAAAACGTACCTATACAGTTCCACATAAAGAACCGTTTACTTTAGCTAAACGAAATCGTGGTACCATGAGTTTGGACTTAGTTTAAGGTTAGTTTTATGAAAATCTTATTTCTAAATGAAATTTGTATATTTTTACGGGCATACAAAATATTTGAGCAGCTTCTTGTGAAAGAGTTCATCCGGGGAAGTAGATACTGCCATCATTCCTATTTTTGTCGCTAAGCAGTAATGTGAGCATTACTGCGTTCCGGTTTTGAAGGGTAAGGGTGCTGGTGATATTACAGGCACATGGGACTTATGTGTCAAGGTGACGGACGCAGGAGCAGTACCTCTCAGGTCTTTCTATTTTAAAGTTCTCTGCATGGCACTGTGACAGTCAGGTAGGCGTGATGCTTATCAGAGGGCGGACTACGTGTTCGTCCCGTCAGTTGATGATCAAAAAAACTTTCTTAAAGAAGTTTGTCGTTAGATTCATCTGGTTTCAACCAGAAACTAAAACCTCCTTACGTATGTGACAGTAAATATATTTATTAACCGTTAAATTTTACATATTTCTGTTTATTTATTTATTGCATCATGAGTACAGAGAATGGTATCTCATATATACATGGACCCTGTTAGAGCATTGCAATCTAATTATTAATTTTATATATACTGAACTGTTTCCTAAGTTTAAAACTTACACTAAAAGTATTTTAATTGAAAAGTCATATTACAAAATTGTAGACTACGTGTTAGATAAAGGTGTATGCAAAGACAACGTGAGTCTAGATTCCATACAAATACGATTCAAAATGTATTCCATAGCATGTAAGTTTATTTGAAAAGAGCAATCCCTAGGGTTTCTTGCTTGTTCTTCTCAGGGCGGTCAGCGTAGTGAACGAGCAGTAAACATTTTACCTATGAAATAAATGATTATTTGAATTTGACTATATTATACTACACTAAATGAACAGTTTTATACTTTAATTAAAACTATTAACTACCCTAATAAAAATTCAAATATGCATTATCACTTAAAAATTACTAAACATGTACCTATATTAGAACTATATTAGAAGTATACTCCTTTTCTATAATACCAAGTGACAGGACGAGCAAGTGGTGCACCTGGTGTTAAGCGACACGCCTGTCCACAGCAGTTGCAAGGCCACTAAAAGCTTTAAATCGCAAAGATCTTAGGGACTGCCACTGCGCCTGTCACCCAGCGACATAAGTTAACAAGTCCCATGTCCCTGTAATTTCACCAGCGTCCTTACCTAGCGATACCCGACTTTGAATCTTGCTAATACGAATCATTCGAATGGTCAAGTCATACGCTTAAGTCGAATCCAAATACAATCATTCGACTCAAGTTGGATAAAATATATTAAAAACCGACCTCAAAAGTTCGTGGAATTACGTCTATTTGCCAAGTCTTATAGAAATCGGCTACTGGAAAGTGCGCGAACCGAATTCATCTCCTAGAGGCGGAAATATTTTATTTAAATTTAAATGGGACCAATACGGAGGTACCCTCTTTCCAATAAAAAAAAAGGAATCACCAAAATCGGTTACATATACAAGTACATATAAAAAAATACAGTCGAATTGAAAACTTCCTTCTTTTTGAAGTCGGTTAATTACTAACAAGTAAGTACTCGTAATGCTCACATTACTGCTTGGCGGCAGAAATAGGTAAGGTGGCAGTACTTCCCTGGACGAACTCTTTCACAAGGAGACCTACTGCTACCATAACTACTCATTACGTAACGTACTGTCGATATCAGTTTACAGGTTTTTTTATATCTCCTATTTATGGAATAATCGCCTGGGCACACTCAACGGTTACACCCCGTATATTATCTCTATTTTAAATACTAAGTTTAGATTAGAATAGGTTTTATGTAACTTTAAAAATAAATTGTTATCTAACAACCTTTGTAATTGGCTATATAAGTTTGTAAATTGATGATTATAAATCAAATTTAAAAGCTGTAAATTTTGCAAATAAATATATAAATTATAGCAGTAGTAACTGCAGTTATGGGTTGTATGAAACATATTTACCACCAATTTATTATCAATTTATTTAGTTATGATGAATCTTTCCACCTTACAGGAATTTCTATTAAAGAAATCTTGAATTTAATTGTTTTATTGGATATAGTGTTTTGTAGACAGTATTTTGTATTGAGAGTTTTTGTTGATACTATTTTGTTTTATATTAACTTGTTCTTAGCAATAAAAATATAGTAAAAATATCTAACTGGGTGACGAAATACTTTCAATTTCTCATGGATGGCGCTACGGCTAAAAAAGTCATTGAAAAAACCAAATGCAAAGATACGACAACAAACACAGAAAAAATCGTGAGGTCCGCTGGTTTGTTCCGTGGCTTAGTTGGTATAGCGTCTGACACAGTATGCTAGAAGACGTCGGTTCGAATCCGGCAAGGATCTAAGGAATTTTTTCTAAGTTTTCTATCTTTGCATTATTATAACAAATTTGTGTAATTATAACAAACTAGTGGAGTAATTTCACATAAAAGATATTGATATCAATTCAATAAAATATTTAAATATGTTTTTTTCTTACCACAAAATACAAAACAGTATAAACCTTGGAGAAGTATATTGTGCGAGCTGGTGCTTGATGCTAGGCATTTCACCCATATTACAAGTCACCAGTCCCCACCCCTTGAACAATGAGACTAACATTACAGGTGAATAAACATATTAAAATTCAAACAAATCCTAAGCCACTACTGAAGTTTAGTACGGCGCGACACCAATAGATGGCATTAGCGTCGAGTTGAGTTGAAACGCGCTATCTAAGTGTTTACTATCAAAGCATAAGACTGTTGAGTTGTCTTATTAATCATATTTGATTAGGTAACTAAACTAGCAAATCACTGCTTCCATCACAGTGGGACAGATGGCTGAAAGAAAATCTACCTTAGTACCCTTGATTATTTGCATGGGGAGAGCATTACATTTCTGTCACTGTGATTTTGTCACACCTGTCACTTACATCACGATATTAATGTCTAATTATTTTTATCATTTTTTTATTTTATTTATTTTGGATCAATTTTGCTTGATTATCTATTATTTGTATTTTTACAATATTACAGTGTATAACACTGATCTCATCAATTCATAATTAGAATTTAAAAATAAAAACGTACTGCAATGAATAGTGCAGTTTTGGAACTTTATTCCTCCTAAAATGCCAAAAGTAACTACGATTGTTTGCTGCACAGTATATGTAGATAATATGACCTTTGTACTAAATGACAGGCATTTACCAACTAATATCCGATAGAAAAGGGAAAACGAATCAAGGAATATAGAATAATAATTTACGATTGTGTACCCTTAATCTCCGAGCCACTCCCATGTTAGCCTTGGAAAGATAAAAACACTATTCTGTAGCACGATTTACAAAACTAAGTTTTTATACACAAAAAATACTTACATATAGTACTTAACTGTGACTTTGATATAAAAACCGATGTAGATTACTTAGTTTTATGGCAATGTGTACCAAGGCCTTCTCAATTCAGACATTCTGAAGCTAGACTTAATATTTAATACATTAAAAAAAGAATGTCTCTCAGTAGAGCCTGCACTGTTACTAAGAAACCAATTTCTAACCCAAAAAAGAGTATATCTTTTGCCAGCACTCAGTAAATTCCATTCAAATGTTATGTAAAGACGTCCTTGACTATCCCACAACGACAATAAGTCAATACTTACCCCGGTAAGCGGTCTTTTTCGATTATAACTTTCAACTTTAACAGTAGTTTCCATGTTAGAAACAAATATCAAAAACTATACTAAAAATAACTCTACTAAAAGATTCAAATTACGTAATGACGATCATCGATTTGTAAAAATCACTGCTTTAAAGATAAATAATAGACATACATTCAGGATTAAGCTAGAAATCACACTAAATTCGGACCATTCGGACTGATAATGGTACCGGCACTCGATTTTACATGATAGTATATCAACAGCTGTTCCAATGACATGTGACATTGACATTTGATAAAGTGTTACCAGCCTTAGAAAAATCAAATTCCACAGTATTCGTACATATGTTTAAAATACATTACATTAGGCACACGCTTGGCTACAATATTTAGTGTTTTTGTGCACAAACAACATCATCTGATGTTGAGCGATGTGACCGAAAGTGACCAATACGCGTTTGACTAAAAAGGAAAATAATTAAGGTTCTGAACAACTAATTAAATTGTAACTGCAAACTAAACACAGAATATACCAACAAAGTAAATCATAATCAGCAAACAAATTACAGGCATATGGGACTTGTCAACTTATGTCTCAAAGTGTCGGGCGCAGTGGCAGTGCCCTCAAATCTTTGCGATTTAAAGCTTAGAGTGGCTCTGCAACTGTTATGGACAGGCGTGTACCTGAACACAACTTTTTCCCGTTACTGGATAGTAAAAAAAAATGCAAAACTTGTTCAAATCACAAGTCTACGAAAAAATAATAATAATTCCAAATGATAACTACTGTTGTCGCTTATGGAATAGTTTAAACAACCATCAAAGTTTATAAAATATTCTATGAAGTCGCTTTTTAATTTATAATATGTGATTTACGATATAAATGGCTATCAATAGGTGTCAGTAAAATGTACACACCAAAACTAATTTTGTAGAATAGTATTATATCAGCAAGACTTTTTGGAACTTTCAGTATTTCTTTCAGTTGTTTCCGAATTTTTATTTGCATAAAAGTTATCACTAGCTTAGTAAACAACGTAGTAATATTCGTATTTTGAATGAGCTGATTTATAATTTACTTTTCAGGGTTTTTATTATTACCCTTTAAAATGCATATTCACTCTACCCTTGAATAGCTTTGAATTGTACTTTTCAGGAAATATCGATAACGGCAGCGCATTCCATTGCCGTGAAACTTGTAAGCATTATAGTATATTTGTTTAGGTATTTAACTAAATACGCACAATCTTGATACATCTTTTTATTGAAACACGTGCTTTACAAATCAACAGGTATAAAAATAGGCATGCAATTTCATATGAAGCTAAGTATTTGTGTTTTGTATTTGAAAGTAAGTAAAAATCATTTTATAATGTTTATTTCATTAAATAGATATCTCAAGATTGTTTACATTTAGTTAAGTACCTAAACAAATGGACTATAGTAAACTCATCTCTTTCCATCAGGTGAGATGGAGCTCAAATAAATACGCATTTATTTAAAAAAAAAAACATATTGAACGTTTTTTTTAAAGTTCACTAGGGGTTCATGTTTTAGAGATGGATATTCTTGCAACTACACTATACGATTTTATTGTGTTATTTTAATATGATTTCATACAATAAAATGGGATCTGTTTACTGAATATCCGAAATAAATTCATTAATGATCTGTAGATAGATGTTTTTCATGCATCCTTTAGCGCCAAGTTACACGACGCGAAAGTTTTCACGAGGACGCCGCGCAGTGACCGCCAAGTTACCACGCTTTTGCGTACATTACTGGCGAATCTGAATTCTATTTACTAGATTACAACATTTAAATTCCTCGGAGCAATACAACCTCGCGGTCGCCGCGCGGACAGCGCTCGGCCACCACGTAGATCAAAGACAAGCCAGTCTCGCCGGTATGCCCGCGACGCTTATTTAAGTTATAACGTCAAAACTAAATGATTAGAACGTACTTTGCCATGACAGTTAGATGCACGCGGTCTCTGCGCGGTGACCGCGCGGCGTGAGTGCGACGAAATTCGTGTAGAATGTACGCGCCCTTAGGGTGTGTTTAATTAAAAATGATAAGGAAATACTTAATAATTTTATTAGTATGCTCACAATATAAATACAGTGTACAGTTAACTACTGAATAAATAAAAGATCTGATAATGCCTATAAAAATTGTATTACCGCTTCATATTATAAGAAGTAGTAGGTTAAGTACATCGATTTTGAATCTTTTTGGTACATTTCAAACTTACAATAATTATTGTAATGATTTTTAAGATGGATTTTTAAGGAACAAAAGTTGGAGAAGAATGTTTGGCTCTATTTCTTGAAACATACATGAAATTTACTTATTAAAATATATTACAGCCCTTAAGCTAACATTATCATAGGCTTTAAAATAAGTAGAAAGTAAATATATAAGATTTATAGGTATTATGTATATTTAAAATATATACATTTTATTTACACCAACTTATTTACAACGAGATAACTAATAGTTCTACCAAAATATAAAAAGTAATATACCAAAGGTAAAATAATACGAGAATGTAGTAAACATAATTAAACATAAAATAGGCAAATAAAACTAATGGTAAACATCACAATATTAAATAGAAAAATCATTTTCTACTGCTACCCCAAAGTATTGACTGAGGCCATTATATCACTCACATTACCTACTACAAATTAATTTAAAAAATTAAGATTTGTTTATTTTTATTGAAGTGTTATTGCAACATTTTTCAACACTGAACATTAACACACCTTTTTAATTTTTACCAACAGAAGACGTCAGTTTACGTAGCAATCGTACACTTTGTTGCTATAATTATGAAACGTAAATAGGCGCTTAATTAAGTAGATTTTATTTCTTATCGTCCCAATAGTCACTGTATTAATTCCTCTTCCCTCCACAAGAGGACATTAGGATAGGCGACACTAGGGCGAAGGAGGCAGGCTTTCATCGCTTTCGAGGTAGGTGACGTAGTTATCCTCTCCACCGTGTGGTGGTCGTGGTGGTGGCAAAGAAGGCATGTCATAGCCATGCATCTGAAATTAGAGCTCAATTATAATTTATCTTAATAGTATTGGTTTTACTGAAAATACAAACCCTTGTACGCACAATTTAATTTTTATTTAATCTAAAACGCATACCTGATTTACCAGCTGCTGAAAAGCGGCGCTATGATGCGGCGCTCTGTCTAGGTCCGCATGCAGAGCAAAGTCTGACAACGCTTTCCACGGCGGCTGGTACGCTGTTACCTCGAGCGGCAACGGTCCTGCGGGCTCATGGCGAACTGGCGATCCTGCTACGAGGGGTACGCCCATTGACATGTACCCCAGGCGACGGCCTTCCTGTTTCAAGCAAAGATCATAGGTTAGATTGGGGTATTTAGATTCCCTTGTAACTATCGTCAGAGGCTTGGCAATCGATATTCCACATTTTTTCCTGCGTGTAGCTGTCAGATCCAGAAGAAAATGTAAAGGAGCTTGACGAGTTCAATGAATTAGCGATTTATAACTTTACTGTAGTATACATATAAACAAAAGGTAATATTGCCGGTGATGGTGAATTGTACAGTAATTCTTTAGGAAGAATAAATGAACTGTGTTTTGAGCTTTCTTGGTGTGTACAAAAAATTACATGGTAGGGGTAACACTTAAGTGGTATTAGTTGATTGGTGCAAAGAAGAAATCCTCCAAATATATGAGTAGTTAGAATTAAAAATGTTCTATTGCACTCGCAACTCTGAGTAAACATAAGATGAATGAGTAGCGCAAAAAGCTAGGTTAATACAGTTTTCTATTCAGGTTTGAGTAACAACTACATATACGATATTAATATTGTAATGTCTAAATGGTGCCTCAAATTTGTCATGATTTTTGGTAGGTATGGAAAAACTGTTACTTTAAAATTTGACCGGCACTATGTATTGAGTATGATAAAAATGACAATTAAGAAAACAACAACAAATATTATCACGTGCATAATTCAATGTGAACACACACACACCACTTCTTTTTTCCTGTAATTTGACTAACTTTGCAAGTGACATTGTAAAATGTCTCTGTCACATTATGCAACGAAAAGTACATTCAGCAATGCACGCCAACTACATTTGTTGACCATGTTAACTTTTATTAAAAACCAGTAAATTTGTCAGATAACATATACGAAATTGCAGAAGCCCCAAAGTTAAAGAAAGCTTTCAAAGCACCAAGTTTCGTATTATTAACAATTTAAGCCAAACCAGAATACCAAAAGTGTAATTACCACCTTCTCCTGCTGCATTTGCATCTTCAGCTGTATGGTTTTTTTCTTGTCCTTGCAACGTTTGTTCTGGAACCAAACCCTGATCACTCGCGGGCTCAATCCTGTCATTTCTACCAGCTGCTCTTTCATTAACGCATCAGGCCGAGGGTTTGCAGCGTAACAGGTTCTGAAAATATTACAAAAACGTTTTAATAAGTAAAATAAAGTGTTTACGCAGGCGGACATATTATAAAAGTAATCAAAATAATATTAATAATTTTAACTTCAAGCTCATGCCCATACAAGATCTCAATTTGCAATATTGCAAGTACTGCACACGACTTGACTTGATGACTCAATATTTTATCGAAAAACAATCATAATCATCAACAACGTGGTACAATCATAAAAAATAATTTATTTGCAAGAAGTCTTTTAAAATGGTAACACCAAAATATTTAGGCGCGAAAGTTTTGTTTTAAAAGTCACCGCATAGATTTCTGTATTTAATCATCTTTATTGATTCTGTTCGACAAAATTTATATAATTCGTATTTATTTATATGTATATACTATTAATGTAACTAGATAGAGAAGTAAATAACCTGAGCGTATGTAATTGCTTCTCGTTCAATACCGTTCGAACTCGCGTAGGTTTGCCATCAGCGGCGGCTGTGGTACGCACCCGGCCGCTTTTATGCGACCCCGATTCGCTTCCTGAGTCTGGAAATAAAAACAATTTGAAATTTAATTTTCTAAAACATATTGTAAGATGTCTGTCGCAGTCAACAAAAAATGCCAAGTCTAAAAAAGTTTTAGAAAAATTAAGAAAAAGTGGAAATAAAAACATGAGTGATGAAAACTTATATAAATTTCTCATAGATGGCGCTGACGACAAAAAAAACCGTTTAAGCCCAGTATAAAAAAAAAATGGTGAAACATCATATAAACAAATGTTTGCAAATAATGCAAAACTAGATTAAGCAGGATTATTGTCCTTCTATTCAATTCCCAGCTCTACAAAAGCACGACTAGGTACAACCTGTTAAGTTATTACAGTTCCACCCCTTTGTCACCTAACAATCCCTTTTGGGATGACCCTTTTGTGACCTCGCACAAAGATCAAAAACTAGGATTAGCGACTTGTCCATTGATCCCACTTCACACCTCGATAATCCCTGACTTATGACGTCACACGTTTGACGTATAATAATTACTACCTTTAATTATGCGAATGGAGAAGAAAAAATGGCGAGTTTTTGTAATTATACAGTTTTAGTTGAATACATTTTTAGTTGATATTACGTTTTGAGTATCTTAATTATACCTTTTTAAGCTGATCGCTCTGTGTAGCCAATGTTCAACAAATAAATAATAATAATGATGACTATTGAATTTTTTTTAAATATTAGCAAGCTTTTTGTCTTTTTTGACGAAGTCTGGGGAAGCCTTTATGTCGATTTTTATTGAATAAAGTTTTAAGTCCTAAGTAAACAAACAAAAAAGTAATGTTAAGCACTTTTGAATCTCGACAAGCATTCGAATTGTTTTGATAGGTTATAATATAAGTATTGCATGTATTTGGTTTTATTGAAAGTAGTTTGTAGATTGTAATCGTAAAGACAGTTTACTAACATTTTAGGGATATCCAGATTTATTTCATTCTTTTATACTTAATGCGCATTTGACCTCCATCTCACCTGATTGAAAGTGACAAAGAGGTCGGCGATGCAGCTTGCACGCCTAAATAATGCCTGTTCACTCTCGCCTTGAAAAGGCCCAAGTTATAGCATTCGCGGAATAAGTCTACAGGAAGGGAGTTCTATTTTTTAGCTGTTGGACCTCGGTGGCCCAACAGTTTGCACTATTCCCTGGTTGAGTATTCTAGTAGTATTAGAGCTCCTTGTGAAAGAGTTCGTCCAAAGAAATCCTGCCACCTTACCTATTTCTGCAGCCAAGCCGTAATGTTACCGTTACTGCGATCCAGTTTTGAAGGGTAAGCGTGCTGGTGAAATTACAGGCACATGGGACTTGTCAACGTACGTTTCAGTGTGACCGGCGCAGTGGCAGTGCCCCCCGGATTTTTAAAGCTCGCTCAAAGTGGCATTTCAACTGTTACGGACAGGCGTGTCGCTTAGCACCAGACCCACGACTAGTTCGTTCGGTCACTTGGCCTCATAGACAAAATGAGGAGGTCCCAGGTTCGGTCGGTCGAATGTGAAGGGGTGGCAAATCAATAACAAGAAAATGTAGTGTTCCGGATTATCTACTCGACTGAAGGAAGAAGAAATTCCAGAAGAAGTAAAACCACTTTCAACTGAAAGTGGAATTTCTACAGGATATATTTCGGTATAAGTGTGTCCTTGAACTCCATCGCTCATCCCGTCCGCCCCCTTTCACCATAGAATCATCCAGACGTGCGTGATATTAGCTCTACGTGGTCGATATTCCCTTCAGGCGTACTAAGCGCTATTCGTTATCTTTTATTATGCGCACAGCCCTGGAATTTAATTCCCTGTCTCGACTACGTTTCCGAGCACATACAACCCGTATCTCTAAGATGCGACTGGATAGAGATCTTCTGGACGAGCTCGTTCCATCGTAGACTCTATGTTTGCTCCAAGGCTCAAGAGCAAGTCGATTTAATTTAGAAAAGGCATTAAATTAAAAAGTTCTTGCGCACACACTCCGAAATGGATCCCATTGAAAACCGAGACAACTTGTCTACAGTTTTAGATTTTATTGCGGTGTCCATCAGCTATAGGGCTATCAACCTTTGACCATTGGATTACCACCGCTCTTAAAAAAAAAAAGAGATACCCCACTCGAAAATACAAATTAAATTCGATTTTTCCCTCAATTTTCGGCCTGTAGAGATAAAACAATCACCTGTGACACGGTCTAATTTTCAACCGCAAACTTCAAACGAGCGGCCTTTCTGTCGGCACACATCAAAGAGTGTTATCAGTCAATCACTGCGCGATCGCGAATCCAGTATCGATACTTGACAACTCGAATCTGTATCTATGTTATCGATAAGTAATTACGGATGTATAGAGATAAGTTGAACTAATATTGCTTTTAGTTTGGGAACGGTGAGAAAGTTATGATTTATATTCATGGTTAGTTAGTACACTTTTCAAATGCTATGAGTTTTTTCTTCTAAAAGAGGGCACTCATTGTCCTGCATTGTACTCTGCTGTAATGCAGGACTAAGAATGTAGTGGCAGCGTGCAAGCCATCGTGCAATGCGTCCTGCGAGACTCCATATGAGGGCCATACGCAGGAGTGTCTGTGAGTGTGAGCTGTTTCTTGCCTGCGCGACGGACTGCCATACAAGTAGTGAATGGGCCGTTCTAGCCTCAATTTATATTGCTAATATTTGTAACTACTACACTAGCACTTTATGTTTATTTATGTAACGTACAAAGTAGATACGAGCGAAAAACCAGGTCGTGCGCTTTCCGAAGAATTTCTCAGCTACCATACCATATTATCTAGTTTGTATGTTGTAACATATGACAAATGACATAATACGTAGTTCATGTGTCATGTAGAATTTTGTTACAAAAATTTGCTGTCATTGAGCTCTTTTCGGTCATTCTCGAACTAGAAAAAAAAAAGAAATCCGTGGCTATTTTTGTTATTTAAAGATTCAAGTACATTATCGTGTAATTATTCAATAATATTTCACGATACAATACTTGAATATTAAATAAAAACCGCCATGGACATTAGGTAGTGGACACGAATCCGAGAATGGCCGCTTTCTTGGGGTTCCTCTCGGAAGTTTTGGACAACATCTGAATTGATCCATAGATCGGATTGCATGCTCTTGAATCGTCTCATAAAAATCTTTTCAAAATTAATTTCGATTTAAAAAAAATCATTTTAAAACAGATTTTTTGGCTTCAGTCGGTTACGAAAACTCAATACTCAATATATTTATTGCATTCATATGGTACCTATACATGTCTTAAATTTAAAATAATGCTAAACATATGAGACCTTTATTAGGGATAACAATAACAGCAGAGGTAGGCCGAGGTCTCAATTATTAACTAAAATTGTTATTTATCAAATAATAATTCAAAAATAAAAAAAAATACGTCATGTAATAAGAAAGAAATACGTCATATTATACATAAACTTGCCGAACTGCTTTTCTTGCAGGCCAATAAAAAATAGGTGTTCAGAAAGAGACTATTTTGTTTATATTATTACTAATTCGATCTAAACGATTCAATTCACCTTAATGTTGAATAGATTTGCTTGAAAATTGTGTTGAAATGAATCGATACAAAATAATCGCTAGATTGTACACGACGTTCATATAATAAAAAGTCATGTGCATCCCTACAATGAACTGTCATTTTACACCATCTTCAATAAAGACAGACTGTACGGGTCTGTTAACACGATGTGAATTGTTATTAAGTCCCCGATATTTCAGAACACGCTCCACGGTCACGGAAGCTTATATAGGCAGGTTCGTTAGTGAGTAATTTTTATTAATATTGTGACAATTTACCTGACATAGACCCGAGCTCGGGATGATGTGAGTTGTTATTACTAAGCGTCGTATTGTTGTTACTTTCCGCGTTTGCCGTTCCACTACTGCTCGTGTTCGCACTCTGAAAACCAGACGATCATTAATGGCAGTTACATCGTTACTTGGACAGCAAGAAAGAAAGATAGGACTTTAATCGCTTTATAACATAAAGGAGAATAGTAGGAAAAAGACTCGAAATCGCTTTTTTAAAAAAAAGACTGACCACAAAGTTTTTGAAATTACTAATAGCCAAGTTTTATTGAAAGTGAATGAAATCCAATGAACCAAATTCGTTGTCTAATTTTCTTCCCTTGTAATTTTAATTCTAATTTTGTTCAAATTTGTATGGGACCACTACTAAGAACACTCATATAATTCCAACAAAAAACAAGCATCGAAATCGGTTAACCAATATCAGAGTAAACGCCCAACATACACACAAAAAAATACAGTCGATAGAGGTTCTCACTCCTTCTTTTTGAGGTCGGTTAAATAGGAAAAAAGGGACGATATCGATTCGTCGTTTCGCTCGGTCTGCAAGGACCTATAGTGAAGACAAATCGTCTCGCGTATATGGACCTTTACAGCGACGGGTAGACGACATCGTGAACAATGTGATGATGTCACAATCTACGGGAAGCCAATACGTAGCAGTGGATAAACTTCAGTAGTAGATTACGACGATGAAAGTCTTACCTTTTCTAAAACATCGTGATCTTCTCTACAATATAAAGCACCTCCCTCTCTTAACGCGAATTCGTCTCCTGGAACAAACCGTTAGTTTAACTTAAACTGAGTTTCTGATGAAGGAAGCAAACTTATATAAACACATTTAGTGCCTCCGTTACACAATGTATGACAAACAAAATCTAAAAGATTCTAAATAACTTTTGAAATGAATTATAGTTAAAATAATTGGAAGGGGAAAGGAAGGCCAAAGAAAAGATGGATGGATTGTGTGAAAGATGACATATGAGCATGGAAATGACTTCTGATAGGCGAGATTAGAAGAAAAATACATGATGTGCCGATCCCACTTAGAATGGGATAAGGGCAGGAAGAAGAAAAAGAATTATAAAACGTCATAACCGTGACCATGGGACCTATAAAGGGCCTGAAACGTTTTGTTTGAAAAAACAAATATACGCGATTTAAATCCGGAAAAATAGTTTCATTTCCTATGTTAACAATCGCGAAAACCTAGTCAGGTTAATGATTATTAGTTTTGCATCCGCTTTATAGATTTCGCAACAGTTTTATAATGATGTTTTAGCAAGCTTTGTTCATGTATAATTAGTTGTCTGATGAAATAAGGTCATTAATTAAAAAAATAAATAAAAGAGATAACTTTTCTTTAGCAATTTCAACCATATCCAATATGGTATACGACGTGGAAAAGTATTACAGGACGCACCACGTGTCTAAAAACAAGTTCAGGAAATGTAAGATCTTATTTGTCACGGTCAAACACGTATTTATAATGTTAAGGATATGGCCCAAAACAATATTTTTTTCAAGGTTCACGGCGTTGGTTGCGCATTTGACCTTCATCACACCTGATGGAAAGTGACGATGAGATAACAGATGCAGTGCAACTCAGGGGCACTGCCACTACGTCCGTCACCCTGAGACATAAGTTGACAAGTCCCATGTGCCTGTAATTTCACCAGCAACCAAAATGGACTAGGTTGAAATATGTTTACGTAATAATGGCCAATAAAGTGAAGCTTTGTTCCACCATCTGGATTCATGTAAATCAGCATTTTGTTACTATATATACCATGAACCAACTAACCAGGTATAAGTTGCCGTGCGCACGCGCAGCAGCGGAAACAATCGATGTGGTAGATCTTAGTCTTGGCGCGCATCACGAAGTCGTTCTTGCTGAACGACGAGCCGCACTTGTCGCACTTCGTGCCGAATAACCTGAGGACAATAAGTAAATGGATTTATAGATTTTTTTTTATTTGATGGCAAAGGAAAAACATCGCGATGAAACCTGCACGCTGAAGAAGGTTCCCAACCCTATTAAATATTCCACCTTGAATAAGAACAGTTAGATATCGAGTTCTTAGTTTCTTAATAATAATACGAGTAATCACTAAACACTGCTCGAACTAGGAAATTCCTGTGAGTACCACAACAACAGAATTTATTCCAGGGCACTTACCAGAAGACTCTCTCGTGTTGGTCCTACAGGAAATCGTTAGGCTACCGATGTCATTAATATTAACGGAAAGCATTGACGGATTACCCCAAGAGTTCCATTAATGATTGATTATTAGATAAAAATCTTAAAAACTCATAATTGTAATCAATATGTTATCAAATATTTTCCTGGAAAGATAATAACACACCTTCAACACGATATCCAATCTGTTTCTTGACTAAAATATTTTTTTTTACGACACCAAGTGACGGGACGAACACGTTGTCCGTCTGGATAAGCTACACTTATAGGTGGTCCGGCCACAGAGGATCACACCAATTACAGTGCCGTTGAGAGCTTTAAATCGCAAAGATCTGAGGGGCACTGCCACTGCGCCGTTGTTGGCAAGTTGACAAGAACCTGTAATTTCATCAGCACATTCTCAATGCCTAAATGAAGACGAATGAATTGGAATTAAACAAAGATGTCTCACTGTTGTGCGGTCTCACCTCGTCTAGTGGGAAGGCTAGATTAAATGTGCAAATTTGGGTTCCAGGGCGCGCGGTGGTGTATATAACTAAGCTAATGCGTTAGGCACAGTGCCAGCTTGGATCTCACAATAGATCCGTTAATCTTTTAGATATTATGGAAAGGGACTCACGATCCTCGTATTTCAATTCCACGTCACAGTACCTACATTTATGAAAACGTATGTATATATACAATAAATTAATTATTTTTGCATGAAAAAAATTATACGAAGAATGAAAATAAACCGGCTGTTCTTTATAGTCACTTTCACATTCATTTAAGAGCAATGTATACGCTTTTACAATAAGATTCCGGTTGATATTCAAAAGTTGCCATTTAAGGAGTTAAAAATATATACTAAAGTTATTTTTTTATTTAAACTTTAAATATATATAAATGGCGGACTTGATTACCTAAGGCATTATCTACAGCATCTGCGTAAATTGTAGTAGTAGATAGATAGATATACTCTTTATAAATCTGTCAAAGATTTCTCATAGATGGCGCTACGACTAAAAAGTCGTTGAAAAACCAAGTACAAAGACACGACGCAAGCACATAGAAGAATTCGTGAGGTCCGTTGGTTCGTTCCGTGGCTTAGTTGGTATAGCGTCTGCCACGGTATGCAGGAAGACGTCGGTTCGAATCCGACCGGATCGAAGGAATTTTTTCTGAGTGTTTTTTCTGAGTGTTCGATCTTTGTATTAATAATTATACTCTTTATTGCTCACACACAGGAACAAAAAACAGTACATAGACAGCTTAAAAATAATGTGGGCAAAGGCGGCCTTATCGCTAAGAACAATCTCTTCCAGACCTTTGAGATATAGGAAAGCTAATCAGAGCGGGATGCGAAGTATGCCAATAGCAAAATTTGAACTGTATAGATAAACAGCAGTAGAGAGCAGTAGCAGTAGAGCAGAAGTAGAGCTCCTTGTGAAAGGTAAGGGTGCTGGTGAAATTACAGTCAGTCGCATGGAACTTGACAACTTATGTCTCCGGGTGTCGGGCGCAGTGGCCGTGCCCCTCAGATCTTTGCGGTTTAAAGCTCTGAGTGGCACTCGTGAGCTTACCTTCAGGCTCACGACTTGTTTGTCTCATGACTTGATGGTATAAAAAAACAAAAATTAACATTATATTTTATCAAATAATAAATAACGATATAGTATACCTACATTATATTAGTATAAATAAACAAATATATACACGTTGCAGACTAGGACAGTGTCAGAAGATATTTACGCAATCTAGTTTTGAAAATAAAATTAGTGAGAGTAGTAGTGAGAGCGATAAGTTTAGTTTTTTCAGGCTGTTTCTATCTAGTTTGTTGAAACAAAAATTGTAAATGATAAATGTAAACAAATGTCTGTTTACAAATAGCAACGCCTAGAGTTTCTTACTCATTCCTCTTACGGGAACCTGGCTTACGAGTAAGTAGCAGTGTATATCGATCAATGTGACCATTGCAAGTGCAATTTGCCTGCCTATGATATAAAGATACTCGTACATTTGAATTTGGACGTAAAGGCGCTCAAAAAGGAATATATAGGTTTCCCACAGATGGCGCTACGACAAAAAGTCGTTAAAAAACCAAAACTCAGATATGCAACAAGCACATAGAAAAAATTCATAAGGTCCGCTGGTTCGTTCCGTGGTTTGCTAGACGACGTTGGTTCGAATCCAGCCGGATGGAAAGAATTTTTTCTAAGTGTTCGATCTTTTTATTAATAATTATAACAAACTAGTAGAGTAATTTCATAAAAAAATAATTGAATATAAAACTTAATTACAATAGTTGAAAATGTTTTGTATTTACTCTAAATACAAATAGCTCAATCGGTTAGTTCAAATTAGGTACACCGACAGTTCTTTGGGTGGCGAATATTGGCTCCAAAACCTATTTATTGGCACTGTTTTCGTATTAGCGACGAAGGATCTAGTCAATAGAGAATAACAAATCAAAAATAATCCTATTGGCATGCCAAATAAAATTATTCAAACTTAGTAGCAGGTGTTGAAGAGAAAATGTATTTTTAACCGACTACAGGTTCTAAAATCGACAGTATGTTTTTTTATGTATGTTACGCGATAACTCTGGTATTTGTGAACCGATTTTGATGATTCTTTCTTCGTTGGAAAGAGACCTCAATAGTGGTCCTATTTAAATTTTCTAGACAATATTCTACCTCTAAGGGTGGCAAACTAAGAGATGAATGACTTTTCAGGCCGGTTTTTTAGTACTCTCTACTGAGATTACATTGCAACATTTATTTACCTTCTACATCGATTTATCTACGTCAAATATCCTATGCCACTGGCATTTATTTCAGATGACGTTATTATCCATTTTTTTGGCACACACTTACTGTGTCTACTATATTAAGGACATTGTATTTTATGTAACAGCATTGAGTGCTTTAAATTACGTTCTTTTCGTTTTTATTGAAAATACAACATCAACTATCACACGTCCCACTAATGCACACGGATCTCCTTTATAAGGAGAGGTTTTAATCTGGTCCAAGGCGTGTTGGAGACTTTACACGCAACCCATGGTATTTATGTATGTACATTGTTCAACATGTTTTCCTTTACAGTTAACATCAAGGTATTCCTATTAAATATGTATAAGTGTACGAAACTTAGAAATTAAATAAATGCTTGAACAGGAATTCGACTCGCCGGTCTGTAATTGAAAAGCACCCGTTTTCCCAGTGGACTAGAAACCTTGTTAAAACCTTGTTTATTTCTATTCGTTTGTTGGTTTATTTGCATTGTATTTGGAAATAAAACTATTTTTTGTAACGCACACTTAGCACTACGAAAATCCTGTATAGCGGGTGCCATGGACAGACACATAGACAAGCATTCACGAGAGAAATAAGTATAGGCCATACAAATATTGAATCGAACCCAGGACCTTTGCGTGGCAGGTCAGCATGGTAACCCTTCGGTCACAGAGGCAGTTTTCTAATTTAAATCGCTTTTTTTTTCAAGCAAATTGAGGATTCAGGCCCTTTTCAGGTTTCTGTTCCCGACTGACTGAGATGGTAAAGTAAAAAACCAGTTTTGTGTAATATTAAATACAAAAGTTATTAATTTTAAATACCTTATAATTTTTGTGCTTACTGAATGTCACGGTGTTTTATTATTATAATATTCAATTATTTTTTGTGAGATTACTCCACTAGTTTGTGCCAGGTCAAGGTATACTTGAAGGCGTTGGTTTGAATCCAGCAGTATCGACGGCATTTTTCATAGTGTGCGGTCTTTGTTTAATTATTAAAAATTAATGGAGTACTTGGTACTTGGTGCAACGGGCTGGTATCCGCAACTCGACGACAAAGCGCCTATTTTGCGTGTGGAATTAATGGAGTAATTTCACAAAAAAAATAATTGGAATATCATGGTGAAACACAGCGACATTCAATAAACACTTAAAGATTACAATTATTGTCTCTAGTCAGCTGCTGGTAGGTGTAAAGGTACCTGGCTGAGTAAAGAAATAGATTTCTCATAGATGGCGTTACAGCAAAAAAGTAGTTTAAACAAAAAAGGACAACAACATTCGTAAGGTCTGGTAGTTCGTTCCGCAGGTCAGTTGGGAAAGCATCTGGCACGGTATGATTGAAAGCGCTAGTTCGAATCCAGCCGGATCTAAAGAAATTTTCTTAATGTTTGATCTTCGTATTAATTATGAAATACGTTATTTTTAATTTAGCAAAGAACATTCCAATTGCATTTTCTTTTAAAACAAAATGTAAATTATAAATTTTTACAGCTTAAATTTTAATTGAGTTGATATTAAATTACTTTTTGTGAAATTACTCCACTAGTTTTTTATAATTATTAATACAAAGATGGAACATTTAGAAAAAATACTTCGATCCGATCGTCGACGTCTCCTAGCAAACCGTGGCAATATGCCAATTAAGCCACGGAACGAACCAGCGGACCTCACGATTTTGTCTATGTGCTAATTGTCGGATCTCTGTATTTGGCTTTTCAACGATTTTTCGCCATAGCGCATAGCGCCATTTATGAAAAATCTATGAAAGTTATTCTAACAGCTTTTTAAATATCGGTTAAAAATATTCCTATTCAATTCTGAGCATGACACAAGTTGAAACACAAAAGTAACAAATCGACGCTGAATATTGCCATCGTCACGTAAGAACCAAAAATACGCCTATACACAACCCTATCTGCGCAAGTACCTACAGGCAATGCTTTTAGCAAGATTAAG